AGTGACAAAGCCAGAAAGAATTAACCAAATCATTCCTCTTGACCCTTATGCCCACTCCTCACTTGATTGAATCTGATTCATTTCAGAGCATGAGTTATAGGTATAGGAAGTGCAGGTAGACGGGTGCTGCATCATATACTATCAACCTCAGTCTTAAAGTTTTCATTAATTGGACCCCTAAACTGAAGACATTTGAGCCAGTACATTGCAGATTAGAATGCTGACCATAAACAAGATCACCATGAGCACCTGTCTCATGAAAGCCAGCACCACTCAAACACCTTTCTAGGATTGTCAGTTCCCAGAAGAGGGTAGTGGAAGTCTGGTACAGGCAGCCATTGCTGTTGCCTCATATAAACGAGGAGACCTAAGGAGGCAGCATGGCCTAGGAGGAAAGACAGTAATGTACAAAAGAAGCCCCTGAACTGAGGGCCGGGACAACAGCTTTAGCCTGGCTTTTCTGCTAACTTTCTGAGTCACTGAAATTCCCCAGACCAGTTTCATCATTTGTAAATGGAAAGCATTACAATAATCCTCTACAAGGCCTTAGTGCAGCCACATCACCTTGCTGGTCCTCAGTTTCCCCAGATATTCAATGTGGGGACTGAACTATTCCAGGGGTTTGAAGTCTTTTTTAATCCCAGTGTCCTCCAGGAATGGCCTATAGGAAAGCTATGCCTTCCCTTCATGCCCTGGGATGATGGGTACCTACGCAATTTCATTGTTCATTTCAGGGCATTCTTAGAATTCTCTGGAGCTCCAGGTTAAAACTCTTGGACTAGGCGGTTTCTAAGGTCTCTGCCAACTCTGGAATTCTATGAACATGATAGCTATGGCTCTTACCCAAAGAGCTTGCATCCAGGTGTGCCTGGTGGGGAGATTTAGAGAAGGAAGTTACTTGACAACAAAAGAATGAATGTACCCTGTCAGAAGGGATGCAGTTCTTGCCAAAAAAGAGAAGCTCTCTGACATTAGCCATTGCTTCCGGCCTTCCCAAACATTCCAGCACTCCCATCAAGCAAACTACCTCTGCCTCCTTCATAGCTTCTTCTATCCAGCTTGCCAGCTGGTCTCTGTATCTCCTCACTCATCACCCATTCACTCCTGTGTCCCCCTGTACATGAACAGAATTACACTGAAATCACTACATCTCGGTATCTGTGCATTTTTTCATGTCTAACTTCTCCCCTTTTCTTTGCATCATCCCTAACAGTTCACTCAGACCCTGCCCAATTCAGACCCCTTGTCAATGTGGGGCTAGAGAGGATGACCTCTGGAAAACCCCAGCCAACTGACATTCATCTGATTCTATGTCACTGAGGAATCCAAAGGAAAGAAAATGTTTATTAAAGTCAGTGAAGTCTAACAAGAAGGTGGGGACAAAGGGAGCATCTAAATTCCAGCACTCTCCCTTGGAGAGAGGGTGGAAAACCCAGGCCTTCCTGCTGGACATCATCAGATCCCAGCCTCTCCAGTGCCAGAAATCAGTGGAAATGTATATTTTTTTTAATATACTCACATTGCAAATAAAAACAGTTTTACATCAATACAGGGGTTGGTTGAAATGTGTTCCAACTCTGCTAAGCAAGGAATGAATTGAAACGCCTATAATAATATCAAGCAAGGCAGTCCCTCTGCCAAACTTGGACAGAGGGGAATTTGCACTGCCAGAGAAAATCTGTTCTTCATCAGTGTTTCAATATTCGAGGAAGCCGGGGACATTTTTCTGTGACGGAAGCAATATGCCAACAGCCAATACTATGATTTAATTCCCTCTATTTTTCCCCTCTCATTGGAAATAATTGTCACAAGAATTTGGTGGGCCATAAAGGCCTTGTATATAAGAAAGATTATACTGAAATGGAGGGAAGAGAAATGTGGAGAGGGATAAGGAAGAGAAAGAAATGTAAAGTGGGAAAAAAGGAAGGTGGGAGTTAAAAAGAGGCCGACGAAGAGAGGAATGGGGTGAGAGGAGCAATGGTGAAGAAACAGAAGGAGAAAGTTCAAGAAAAGCAGAAAAATAACAGTGGAAAGGAGAGAGAAAAATGAGAAGAATGTGAGAATGAGAAGGGTGAGTAGAATAAAAATCACAAACAGAGGAGGGAAAATGCAAAAGTCAGAGGTGAAAGAAATCTTAAAGAGTGGCGGGTCAGTCCTCCTCTTAAGTGTCAGGTAGGAGGCCAAAGGGTGAAGTTATTTGCCTGAGACCAGAAAGTATGCCCAAGGTCACTGAGCTCAGAACAGAGGACCAGGACCTCCTCACTGCTGTCTAACGCTCTTCACTCTTGAGCAGGTGGCAAGCAAAGCAAAGAGACAGGGGAATTAAGAAGAAAAAGATGAGAACTTGCATGTGTGTACACATGGATACATCACTTGGCTTCTTCAATCACCTGTATTGTGTAATCTAATCCAATCTAAAATCTAGCATAATCTAATAGTCAAAGTTGCTTGATTCTTAGACCCCATGAGTTTTTCATGAAACGTATCTAAGACCTGGAGAACACTATTTTCTCTGTCATCAAATTGTAAATGGTGGAATCAGGGAGCTGAAGAGAATATCAGGATGTCACTGGGCTAATGTCAGGCCACTAAGTGGACATCTAAGGCCCCCTCTGGGTGGGGAGGGGCTTCTGGCTTCCCAGGATCATAGGTTTACTGACAAGAGTAACTTCTGTGTGCCTAGAAATCCCAAACTCCAGGACCCCAGTTCTAGCTGTGGAAGTCATCTCCTTCAAGATGAGGGCCTTTCTGGCTTAGGCGTTAGTTACTAATTTTCAATCTATCATTTATTTAATAGTATCATACTAGTGTTCATTTATTTCTATAATGGTACCATGACTGTATAAGATGTCAAAATTAGGGAAATCTGGGTAAAGGATATGCAAGACCTTTCTGTACTATTTTAGCATCTCCTCAAAAAAACAAAAAAAAACTTCACAGTGATCTCAAAGGCTAGATTTGAATTGAGAAATGTCTATCATTGCCCACATCCCCAGTCCCTGCCCCCGGCCAATGATTTACCTCTCTTTTTCCCCCTTCCTTAGTTCCTTACACACACACACGTGATTACCATGGGCTGTTCACCCAAGCTCTGTCCACAACCCCCAGACCCCACAAATAGCCTCTTCTTGGCCATCTCTGGGGTCTAGGGATCTGTACACTGGCAGTGTAGTCCATCCTGAGAGGACAGACCCAGGGAAGGCTCAGGGCCATTTGAGCAAGGATTTCAAGAAGTTGGATACCAGAAACATGGTCTAGAAGCTGGTGCAAATCATAGGCTCCAGGGAGGCAAATCCCTTGATGTTGCCCCCTGAGAAGGATGTGAGAAGAAAACAGCCAGTGTAGGGCCTTCTTAAGTGTGAGACCTAGGGCAGGGGTGGCGTTCGCCCAGGTCTAAGGCTAGGACTGTCTTAGACAGTCCTAAGGACCCACCATAGCCAGTTTTAACCCACCTGCTGGCTAGCCCAGGCTCAGTGGCAGTGTAGGCAAGAAGAAAGGGAAAATCCATTCTGGTCATACAGTTACTCTTACGTAATTTGGACAGAATCTTAATAATGGTGTTTGCCATATCTTGCTGAAGGGTGTCTTAGTTCATTCTGTACTGCTATAACAGAATACCTAAAACTGGGTATTTAAAAAGAACAGAAATTTATTGGTTCATGGTTCTGAAAGCCAGGAAGTCCAAATGCATGGCACCAGCATCTGGTGGTGGCCTTCTTACTGTGTCATCTCAAGTGGAAGTCAGAAGAGCAAGAGAGAGTAAGAGTAACGAGGTGGCTGAACTAATTTTTTTATGAGCTGCCTGCTTCCATAATAATGGCATTAATTTATTCATGAGGGCAGAGCCCTCATGACCTAATCAACCTCTTGATGGTACTACCCCTCAACACTGTAGCACTGGGGATCAAGTTTCCAACACATCAACTTTAGAAGGAAATGTTCAAACCACAGCAAGGAGGAATCAATATTTTCTGTTCTACACTCTTAAAAGCCTCTTGGGTCATGATTCATTGACTTGGAATCACTGAAGCTAGCAAAGTGCTTGGCATGTAATTTATAGTGAATAAGTGAAGGAACACTGAACAGCTATTTTCACTGTAATGATATAAGTATCTTCATCAAGATAAACAGTAGATATGATTCTATAGAAGTACAAAGAATAGTAGGCACATAGCCTGGACTGGAGGGGTAAGGATGGTATTCTGAATCATCTTAAAGAATGGATTGGAATTAGTCATGAAGTGAAGAAGGGCATTCCAAGCAGAGGGAAGAATTGTCATGGCATATTGGAATAACTGTGGTAGAACAGAATGTAAGTGTCATGAAGGAAGCCAGTCACTGCACGTATCTCCAGAACCTTGCACAAGCAGGCATCGAGTAGATTGAATATATGTATTAGGTAAATGATGAATATATGTATTAGGTAAATGATGAATATATGTATTCTGTAAATGATGAATATATGTATTAGGTAAATGATGAACATATGCATTAGGTAAATGAGAGAATGTGGGTCATCTCTTTTCAAAACCATAGAAAGCTTAACAATATCCTAGTCTAGGTATTGGCAAACATTTTCTGCAAAGCACTAGATAGTAAATATTTCAGCCTTTAAAGGCTATGTAGTGTCTGTCACAACTACTCAACTCTGTTGTGTCCCCTGAAAGCCACCATGGATGACAGGTAAATGGCATGAGTGAGTTCTAATAAAACTATATTTCTAAAAATGGGCAATGGGCCAGGAACCATAGCTTGCTGACCACGGCTGTAGTCCAACACCTAGAGCACAGCTGGTTGGTGGCAGCACTTAAACTAAATATTAATGTCCCAATATAAGTGTTTGGACAGAGAGTAGCATAGATGTTTCAAGACAAGAGAGATAACTGTAGGCCTCAGAAACCAGGAACATATTCACAGAGGAAACAGGATTCCAATTAGACCTAGAACCTCAGTGCAGTCCAAAAAATGAGAAGACAAGATGTTGAAAAAAGAACACTCACCTGGTAAGTTGCCTGTCTTCTCACCAGTGTATTTAGGTTCTAGCTGTGCTTCCCTGAACCTAAGGTAGAGGGGGAGAGGGAACAAGGATAAAAGCAAAACCACATTCTAGGACAGCATGTCAGGCCAAAGAACAGACATGACATTGTGTCTCCTAAACGGGGATTTGGGGAGTTGAAAGGCATTAGTCTCTGGGTGAACAACATAGCTACACAGAAGCAGCCACTCTGGCAGATGGAAGAGCACAGCCTGATGTACTGCCCAAGAGGGGAACCAGTCCCTGGTCAGAATCTCCCTCTGCATTTCAACTCAGAGAGAATGCACAGTCTCTTAGGACCCCAGATGTGAAAAGCCATTGTAAGTTCATTCTGGCACAGTCATTTTACAAATTGAGAAACTAAGGTCTAGACAGAAGAAACATCTTTCCCAAGGTCACAAAGCCAGTGAGTGGCCAGGGTGGTTTTGACTCTTAAACCTGGCCTCCCAATTCTCTGTAGATCCTTCTCCGATATCCTGCTGAAGCTCCCCACCCCCACCCCCACCCCAGTGCAGGCATTCTAATTATCTTTTATGTATAGACATACAGGTGTCTAGGCTTTGGATGTAAAAATCTGTAAGACATTTCATCAGCATTGACTCTATCTCCTATTTGATCACAGTCCCTTGAGGTGATGGGTGGCTTACATGCTTTCTCTGGCTCTGTGAAGACAGGGTCTCTGCACTCACTGTGAGGAGGTAAGTCCTGCAGTTCTCAGACCTGCTCAGAGAACCCTGCCCTTCAGGAACCATCCCCAGGTTCACTCCATCCCTAAACACAGGAGACTAAGCCCTTCTCAATTCCACATCAACTACCTGAGCTCCTATTAATGCTCTGATTAGAATTATTTGTGTTCAAGAGTATCTGTCTTGCCCACTAGATTGAGAACTCCTCAAAGGCAAGAATCGTGTCTCAGTTATCTCTGTACTTCTGGCCATGAGTCTGACACACAGATAGGTGGTATTAACTGAGGGTTCAGTGATTATAGCCTCCAGAGGGCCAGGAGAGCATAACCAAGAGATTAAGAGATTGTGTCAACTGGAAAAAAGGGAATCCTGAGTTCAAATTCTGACTCACATGCTATTTAATCTCTCTGAGACTTAGCTTTCTCATCGGAGTCATTGTCAGAGTTAAATGAGACAATGCTGCTGGTATTGGTGGCAATGAGGGCTGGTTCCCTTCTTGGACAGCAAATCAGGCTGTGCTCTTCCATCTGTCAGAATGGCTGCTACTGTGCCCTTGTGTTGTTCACCCAGAGACTAAGGTGGTATTAACGGATGGTTAAATGGTTATAGTCTCCAGAGAGCCAGAAGAGCATAGCCAAGAGATTAGGAGATTGTGTCGACTGAAAAAAAAAAAAAAAAAAGGCAATCCTGAGTTCAAATTCTGACTCACATGCAGAAGGTACTTAATCTCTCAGAGACTTAGTTTCCTCACTAGAGTCATTGTCAGAATTAAATGAGACAATGCTGCTGAAGCCTTTGGCAGAACACCTGGCATTCAGTAAACACTCGATCAATGTGCTGGAAGGCCAAGGTCAGGCTGCCAGTATCATGGGTTGGGCTGTGGATGAGCTGGTTAATTCACACTGGGCTGTCTCACAGTTATCTTTATTTAGGTACAGGGAGAGCCTGAGCAGAAGATGGATGAGGTAAATCTACCCATGTGACCAGAAAAACTAGAAAATCAGGCCCCACCCAACTCCTGAAGGAAATAACCCAGGGTCGCCCAGTCCCAACAAACAGGCCAGCGGCCTCTCTAAACCAGGCCAGCGCAATGCTGCAGGCCCTCCAAGCCTCCTGCTGATTGATAGAGCCCCACACGCTTTCCAGAGAGCCGGCCCTCTATATTCTCCAGCTAAGGCCTTTATATCTTGGGTTGGCTGGTGACAATGGTGAGATACTTTGGGTAACTGACAAAGAAAAATAGACTTTTTCTTTAAGAAATCAACACATCAACACCTGTTAGTCAAAGCTAACTGAATTCTAGCAGCCTGTGAATGCCAAAAAAGGGGATAAAAAGGCATGAAGGATGGATCATGGAAGGCAATGACAGAGACTGAGGTCTTGGAGCAGATGGCCATGTGTGGTCATGGAGTGAGCGGGAGGTAAAGGTAGCAGTTCACCTGGGGAGTCCAGTAACAAGGTCAAAGCAGAAGGTTGCGGCAGCTAAAAGTTGGACCAAATCTCTTCCAATTGCATTAAGATTACAAAAAGCAGAAGGAATAGGTAACTAAAGGATAAACTAAAATCAAATTCAAGCTCTCAAACAAAACAAGTGCAACAACAACAAAAAACCTTTTAAGAGAATAAAATCTAAGCAAATTAAATTTACATGCAAGAATTTAACTGGATAAAGCACACCTCTGAAATACAAAGTCAAAAAGCTAAATGTAACTAAGCATAGACCTTCAGGGTCTAGCTCTGTGGAAGTAAAGCAGTGGTGTGCTGGAAAAGTTGGTCTCACCCATCCTCTCCCCACCCAAAATGTCCCCCTGATTTGCAGTATCTGCTAATCTCCATGGTGTGAACATTCCCACCATAGCCAGTTTTAAGCCACAAACATGAATATCATTGAGCTCAGAGTTAGGAAGAAATTTAACATTCAGCTCTTGCAAAACCAGTACAAACTGCCCCCAGTATGCCAGTGGAAGTAAGCTGAATTTGGGAAGCATAAAGAGATGCAAGAGCATAGTAGGTATGCAGTCCCCAAGGACTCAACAAGAAGCAAAGGAAGGAGTAATGAGATCAAAGACCTTTCAAGCTCTCCCCAAAAATAAACAGTCAAATCTAGGATCAGATCCAGACTCTGCTACCCACTGGCAACAAGACCTTGGAAAATTCCTTAATCTCCCTTAGCTTCAGTTTCCTCAAGCGCAAAATGAGACAAATAACACTGAGGAAGGGATGTTGTCAGGATTGAGAGAGATCGTGACTATAAAGGACAGTGCTAGGCACTTGGGAGACGCTGAGCAATGATCACACATTCTATTCCAGCAATGCATCCCATCCTCCTTCTTCTGGAGCCCACTAGAGCTTTGTAAATGTGCTAGTCTACTGTGACAATATGTTTCCTGGAACCAGTTCTCATTTCAAATATTCTGTCCCTTTGTGCCCATTCATTTCATAGAGTCTTGATTTGAGAGTTCATAAAATATGTTCAATTCAACATAATATAAAATATATTCAACAAGAAGAAGACACATTTATATATGAATCTGTCTTCTTCTACAGGCTGTGAGCCTCTTGTAGGCAAGTATATGTGTTACTTTTTTGTCTTTATCCTCAGTTATTAGCCCAGCATCCAACATACAGCAGGTTCTTAGTAGATAATAATTGAGGGAGAAAGGAGGGAGGGAGGCAGGGAGGGAGGGAGGGATGGAAGGAAGGAAGGAAGGAAGGAAGGAAGGAACGAACGAACGAACGAACTAGTTTGTCTCTGTCACATGATACTAGTGAAAAGAGAAGATATTTTGCCATCAGTTAAACCTGGGTTTGAACCCTTGTTTTGTCTGATAATGGCCAAGTTAATAATACCTTGAATAAAATATCTATAAAATAAGATAATTTCTGACTCATAGCATTGCTGTGAAAATGACAGGTAAGAATGTTATGCATTCTACAGATTTTTTAAATTGCAATATAATTTACATAAAGTACACAAATCTTAAGTATGACTCTCAATAATTTTATATACAATTTATGTAGCCAAATCAAAATACGGAATATTTCCATCAGCCCCACGAAGTTCCCAGGGAAGTTTTAAAACATGGCTGCAAAGTCTTTGACACTCCTTTCATTGAGAGGTGGGTACTATGTCCCCTCTCTCTGAATCTGAGCAGGATCGTGACTATCTTGACCAATAGAATACAGCAGTAGCAACACCATGTGACTGCCAAGGCTAAACCAGTAAAGGCCATGTAGGTTCTACCTTATTCTCTGGGACACTCCCTCTTGGTATCCTGAATACCAAGTAAGAAACCTGATCATCCAAGGTTGCCATGTTGAAGAGGCCTCATGTAGGCACTCCAGTCAAGAGTCCCAGTTGAAACCAGCCTTCCAACCAGTCTGCCAAGATGTCAGCCATAAGGGAAGCCATAGTGGACCCTCAAGACTAGTCTATCAGTGACACATTAAAAAAAAAAAAAGAAGAAGACTTAATCAAGCCGTGCCTCAACTCCTGACTCACAAAATTGAGGGTAGAATGTGCTGGTTGTTGTTTTAGCCACTAAATTTTAGGGTAGTTTGTCGTATAACAATAGATAAATGGAACAGTTCATACTTTTCCTTTCTCAGTCAACAGTATCCCAACCCCTCCCCTGAAATTATCATATTTCTAATGTTTACCACCATAGACTAATTTTGCCTGCTCTCAAACTTCATATAACAGAATCACCCAATATGAATTGTTGTGACTGCTGTCTTTCACACAATAGAGTGTTTTTGAGAGTCACTATGTTGTATCAGTAACTTTTTATTGCTGGATAGGATAGTATTCCATGTTATTAATATACTATAACTTATTTATCTGATCTCCTGTTGAGGGACATTTGGGATGTTTCCAGTTTGGAGCTTTTACTAATAAACCTGCTTTCCTGGAAGTCTTTTTTCTACATATATTTTCATGTCTCTTGGGTATATGTCTAGGAGTAAAATTGTTGCATCATAGACTAAGTATATTTGATATTAATTTGAAAATGTCAAACAGTTTTCCAAACTGGCTACAGTATTTTAGGCTCTGACAAGCAGCATATGAGAGTTCCAGATGCTCCACACCCCATCAACACTTCTTATTGTTAGTCATTTTAATTTTAGCCATTCTATTGTGTGTGCAATAATATCTCTATTAGTTTAATTTTCATTTACCTGAGAGTTAATAATATTGAGCATCTTATTGGCCACTTAGATATCTTTGTGAATTTCCTATTCAGTCTTACAGATTTTTTTAAACTGAGTTTTAAAACCCAGTTGTTTGACTTGTTATAATTGAGTCATAAGAGTTATTTGTATATTCTTGATGCTAGT